TATATATATCTATACACATATATACACATTACCATAGAGGTTTCTCCAGACTGTATGTTACGGATATAAACATTACACAGTGAAATATGGACAACACTCATAGTCCACGTACAAACTGTGAATTTCAAATGGGAACGTGTATAAAAGGGGGACAGAATGTCCTGTTATCAAAATGAATTAGCTACAACTGTTTACTAAGGCACATAACTAGACCAATAAGGTGAATGTAACTCCCCTTTATTTATCTATCTGATTCTATCTTTCTTTATAAATCGATCTATCCATCCCACCCCAGTGTAGAATATGTAATAATTCTGAGTGTAAAGCTTTAATGAGTATGGACACAGTGGAGTTGATTTACTAAATCATAAACTGTTACATTGAAATGAATGTTCATTTAGCTCAGCTAATAATATGAAACTGTCTTCAATGAAATGAGAAAACCAAATGCTGCAAAAATCCAGTTTTAATTTTTATTCCCTCTTACATGTTTGGTATTGAAAGTGAAAAAAATATTCAGATTATTTACTAACAACCACAAAGCAACTTAAACAGCCCTAGTAGTAAATAACCCACAGGATACACATATAAAACTGTGGGTGAGAGAATTGTGGATGTGAAGCTGTGATCAGTCTGGATACATTGCTACATATAGAGAATTGTGGATGTGAAGCTGTGATCAGTCTGGATACAATGTTACATATAGAGAATTGTAGAAGTGAAGCTGTGATTATTCTGGATACAATGTTACATATAGAGAATTGTGGATGTGAAGCTGTGATCAGTCTGGATACATTGCTACATATAGAGAATTGTGGATGTAAAGATGGGATTATTCTGGATACAATGTTACATATAGAGAACTGTATCTCTATATGGATGTAAAGCTGTGACCAGACTGGATACAATGTTATATACAATATTGTACACATTGAATTGTAGATGTAAAGCTGTGATCCGTCTGGATACAATACAATGTTGCACATATACAAGTTAAGATTTAAAGCTATGATCAGTCCAAATACAATGTTAAAATAAATGATGCACACTGAGTATTGTAGAATAAAACTGTAATCATTCTGGATACAATGTTACATATATAGAACTGTATCTCTATATGAATGTAAAGTTCTGATCTGTCTGGATACAATGTTACATGTAGAGAATTGTGGATGTGAAGCTGTGATCAGACTGGATACAATGTTACATATAGAGAATTGTGGATGTGAAGCTGTGATCAGACTGGATACAATGTTACATATAGAGAATTGTGGATGTGAAGCTGTGATCAGACTGGATACAATGTTACATATAGAGAATTGTGGTATAAAGTTGTGATCAGTCTGGATACAATATTGCACATATACAGTTGTGCTGTAACACTATGATCAATCCAGATTCAATGCAGAACCTGCATACAACATTGCACTAGAACTGACTGGGGCTAGCATACAATATCAAAGTGTGGAATGCAGTCTTGCACTTGTAAAACTTCCTCCACACACAGCACTGTGTTCAGTCAGAAGCCCAGAAATCTCAGTGAGCGGCCCAACAGCAGCAGCCAGGCCCAAGAAGAAAGCTCTCCCTCCCCTGGCAGAGCCCAGAAGCTGCCAAGAAATGCAGCAGGAGAATTGGCAAGAGGTCACACACAGGGTGACAGGAGCAGCACCCCGAGCAGCAGCCCAGCGCCGTCCGTTCAATATGCAGAGGGAACAAGGCGATCTATTGTAGCTGGCAGGTCTGATTCCCTCCCTGCAGCTGGGATCTGAGCAACACACACACACGGACAATATGGCAGGGAAATAATGATACACTGCCTGAGCAGGACTGTGCAACAAATTCACTGACACTTCCAAGAGAAACACCACAAACAGCCAGTCCACATACAAGTCATTGTGCTGATGTGAATGCCCAACACGTTCTACGCCTCTGACTGCAACATCTGCTCCAGATTCAACCGGAGGAACCGACCCAAACAACAGAGAGCTGGCCTCACTGGAAATATGGAAGGCTTGGAGACATTGGGACATACAAACATCTCTTACTGGTGATCTGCACAATGAGGGAAACAGACAGCAGCCAGGACCAAAATAACAAATCCAAAAATGAGAAACAAATCAGTGTAATAGTAACAAAATCAGGAGGAAGTCTGAGTATTCAATAGACTGGTGAGAGGACACAGATAAGGGAGCAGCATGTTGGTTTTCCCCTTTTATTATATTCAATATGTATAGGTGTGGGAAGAAATACACTCAGTGACACATTGCATTGATGTGTGTATAAAATGTCTGATCATAGATTTTGTTTTGTAAAGTTGCTTTAGTAAATGTGTACAAAATACTATGAGGGTGATTTACTAAAGGAACTGAGATTCTTCATACAATAAATTGTCAATATTCATTTCAATTATCCAATCACGTGAAAAGCAAATTCCTGTTTACTTTTTATTTCATTTGCACAGGATTGGATAATTAAAGTGAAAATTCACACAAGGTATCAACAGCCTCAA